TCACAAGCAAACATTGTCTTGGAGCGAGGGCGGGAAGACAAATTACTTGTACTCTTGAGGAATTCCACGGGCTGGTTGAGATCTCAGGATTCATAAAGCTGTATTAGATACAGCACATTGGGTGGTTGTTAGGGACTATTCCAATGATCTTATTTTCCAATGTATTTTATTCATCTCTTCAGGGTAAGTATAGGATTGGGGGAGAAAGAGGAGAAGGGGTAACTACTGCCTTACTCCCCCATTTGCATGTTCTCTGCCAGCTGCAAAGCTCTCAGTTTGCTGGGGTCAAGATGACAGGACTAGGGAGCAGAATACTAATCTACTTGATCTGCACAGAACCTTTCCTCTGAAAAACCCACCGGGTGTGTGATTCTGTTCAACTTAATTGTATGTTGGCGAAGAGGAAAAGCTGCTGGCCATGGTTTTAATAGCTAAGAACACACTATCTTTTCAGGAACCATCTGTTTAATTGTAATTACAAACAGCGATGCAAAAACACAAATGATTAACTCGTACAAAATTTCCCTACCACTAACTGTTTTAATCTAGTGAGCATCTTGTCCAAGACCATGTTGCCTTTTCCCTTTGCAGTATTTCATGATTTAGTAACTGACAGCCTATCATTTATTACAGATCTTATTCTGGGAGAGCTAAGATTAATTAGAATTCTTAGAATGCATCCCTGTTATTTCTTTTATCAAACTTTCATTTCTTCTGAGTGTGACAGGGGATTACATTAGAAACGAAATACACAAGGACTCCTATTTTCCCCACTCCCTAAAATCTTTGAGGTTTCATAGAATACACATTAACTATAATTAATTACCAGGAACATTCCAAAGCATTGCAAGACTAATTTTTTTGGTTTTCCTAAACACAAATTTCTGCCTTCCTGGTTTTGAAATATACTTACCACCCTGTAATTATTTTAAAAGACACAAGTATTGGTAATTGTTTTCAGGCATGAATAAAAATAGCTTAACCCTGAAATTTATTTTAATTGGGTATTTCTCAAAGCCACTACTGCAAACTGGAGTGGATTGTTTATAACAGAAACAAGCATGAACAACACAGGCATACAAAACACAGACTTACACAAAGTTGTTTCGCTTGTATTTATAATAATATTTTGAAGAAATAAAAGCAGACATAGACAGAGTCATGTTATTAGAGAGACCTTAGATCCACAATATTTTAGATATGGCCATTGGAGCAAGAAAAGGGCATTTGAAAATAAAATACAAGAAAGCTGAGGTGTAGCTTAGTGGTAGAGTTCAATCTTTACCACCACAAACAACACTTGTAACGAAACAGAAAATGGTACAGGAGACTGATGAGTTGTCAACGAAACAACAAATGATTTTCTTCTTGGTCATTTCAAAATCAATCATACTGACTTCTGGTTATCCCTTTGAAGATGGAGATCACTACTTTAACAGTATTATCTACTTTCTAAAAGCATTTTTTAAAATGTCCCCTCTTCTTCCCTACCACATCTCAAGGATTAAGTATAACCCTTAAAACAAGAGAGAAGGCAATTTAAATCCACAATGGAAAAAAAGGCCAGACTCCCTGCTTTCCAATCAAATAGCAGCACAGGCATCTCATGATGTGTCAGTTTCTCACTTGCCCTTCACTGCCTAACCTGAACCCTTCTAGCCATGAACCCAAAATGATTTTAAGCCCCTGTCATCTCTTGACATGTGAAGGGCAGCCAAATGCTAAGTGACTCCACAGTGTTATGAGGAAATGGATCTCAGGAGAAAGCCTGGAGGTTGGAGTACAACAGGGAACAAATGAGAGGTCTGAACACGGTCACTCAAAAGATGGGTATAAAGTTATAAAACCTCTGAAGATCTACACATCCAGGGTCAAGGACCTCCAAATATACAGTTTCAAGGTTCAATACTCACTGTCTATGTGGTTAATTTTCAAATTTGATGACAGTTTTTCATATTCTAAATGTTTTGCTGCTCATATAAAGAAGCATTCTCAAAACTATTTTGAAGACTGTGGAACTCTACAACTAATTAATAACAGAATATCACTTACCCTCTACTTTTGAGCCACAATTCACTCTTACATATAAGTCAGAAATACTGTTGCACCTTCTCCCAACTAAGTTTGCCTGATATACAAAAAGTAAAATAATACCTTACAAGTACCATTTCTGAACAGCTTTTCAAATTTGTTTTCACAACTCTAAAAGTAAAACAGAATAAAATTATTACAGCCACTCAACACCGAAAAAATTTAACTCTCTAGTCTATATTTATTTCTATATATGTACACACATACGTATATAAGTTTGGCATATGTATATATACACATATATATACACACATATAGACAATATGTTTCAAACATTGCATTTGCTAAACCTATATGTTTGCATCTTTTCCACAGGCATATACTATCAATATGTGCACATTTCATATAAAACTTATAATTCTCTCAATAAAGCCACACATTAGCTTTTATTAATGGGGTTGGAAGAGTGGAAATAATGAGAATACCTTAATTTGTCATTTATAAGGCATTTTAATTCTTACTATGAACATATAAGCTAATAAAAATTTTTAATTATTTAATTGCTTTTTAATATAGGATGACTTGACTTATGACCTGGACCAACTCTCCTGAGAAAATAACTTAAAATGCTGGTTAAAATATCTGTCAATCTGGTTAAAGAAACTTTGGTACATTTACACAATGGAGTACTATGTAGCTGTTAGAAAAGACAAAGTCACGAAATTTACATACAAGTGGTACTACATGGAAAGTATCATGTTAAGCGAAATGACTCAGAAAGAAAGAGATAGACATAGAAAGATTGCATTCATCAGGGGAACATAAAGTAACAAAATAGGAGACTAACACCCAAGAGTGGCCAAGATTAGTACCAGGAATTTTACTCCATGGCTTGGAGGCCAACCACACATGCTAGGGGAAAAGGGAGCTCAGATAGAGAAAGGAACACCAAATAAAGGGTGTTGGGAGGATCCTCCCAGGATGGGAGAAGCATGCTGAAAGTAGACTATAGACCAAACATGATTGTCACCCATTGCCTCTTTTGCAAACCACAACACCCAATAAGAGAGAGAGAGAACAAAAGGGAATGCCCTGCCACAGGCAGGGGGGGAAAGGGTGGATGGGGGTGGGTGGGAGGGATACTGGGATCCGTGGTGGTGGAAAATGGGCACTGGTGGAAGGATGGGTATTTGATCATTGTATAACTGAAACCCAAGCACAAAAATTTGTAAGTCTACAACTGTGCCTCATGATGTCTCACTAATAAAAACTAAAAAAAAAAAAAAATCTGTCAATCTTCTTCTATATCCACAAGCTAACAAGACCATATGGAATTCCTGGCCCACATCTACCTGGAAGCAGCAAAATACTAAGAGAAGCACTGAAAGAGATTCTTGCCAAGAGGCCATTCACTGGACAAGGCCACACTGAGCTCTGTTTGTGGCTACTTGGCAGGGTTTGGGGGGAAACGTCAAATTCCAGGGCTCATAATGTGTGTGGGAGGGGGGAGGGGGGGAGAAGGAGACTCTACTCCAAAGATCTATCTCTTTTAGGTAAGACTGGATTAAAATGAGTCCATGCAATCTCATTATCTCCAAACGAATACAAGGGACATTTTTCCATGATAATGAACAGAGAATAAAAGTAAGATCAAAATGTGCTTAAGGGGCTGGAATCACTAGTCAACTATCCTATGTATCTGAAGTTCAAAATCACATTACCTATGATTTCCCAAAGTGTCAAGGTGTGGTTTTTACTTAAAAATTAGTTCTTATTATCTCATTCTTACTTTGAACAACCTGGTAGGCTACGGAATGTAACCTGCCCACACGGCAGAGTCTGGCAAACTCCCCATGGTGTACCCAATATGCCAAATACCAGTAACAATGATGGGTCTCATTCTTCTAACCCTGAAAGAGCCTTGAATATGGTACTTTTTTAAATCTCAGGGCTAGGATGAAGGAGACATTACTGGAGCCTGCTCGAGGCAATTGGCGAACAACAGGATGATTGTGATCGTGAGTCTGGACAGGTCTTTGCCGTAGGGGCGAGATACTCTGCGTAGCTTGCCGGACTCTCTGAGAGGGGCGGAGGAATCGAACCCGGCTCCCCGGGCTGGCTCTACACAAGGCAAAAGCCCTACCACTATAGATAGACAGACAGACAGACAGACAGACAGATAGATAGATAGATAGATAGATAGATAGATAGAGATAGAGATAGATATCTTATATACCCGCTGTGTGAGCTCGCCCTGGACACAATACCCCTGACCTGGGAAACGCCTGCATTAGTAACAGACGTGACGATGCAGGGCCTCACACTTCAAGACAGTGTGGAAGAGAGGAAAATCCAAAAGAATCAACTCGGTAACGGTCGGGGACAGGGGGGACAACTTTGAGGATCAAGGATTTGGAAGTGACCCAGAGGTCGTCGAGCCCGCGAGACCCCAGGTGGACACGGGTCAGGGAGCAGCGCGCCAATAGCCAGGCTCTCGCGAGAGCCTGCGGCCGTCTCTGAGGCAGCTGTGGAGGCGGGTTAGCCCTGAGCCCCGAACCGCTGGGGTCAGAACCACGACCCGACAGGAAAAGCGGCCCCGAGGGGCTCTGGCCACCTCGTGGATCCTCGCCCCCGCGTCCTGAGGTGGATGCGAGGCTGAAAACGTCGGGGTCGGCGGGGGTGGGGGGGGGGGCGCGGAGCCTCGTTGTCCCGGCGTGGGACTGAGGGGAATCGTTTGTCCAAGGCCGTCGAGTGTCCTTCAGGCCGCGGCCGCCCCTCACCCACCGCCCGCCAGACCCCGCCGGTCCCTCTATGTCAGGGGGGTCGAGGAGAAGAGGCGAAGGGAGGCCGGGAGAGGACGGCCTGGGAAGCTTGGGGTCCCCCCGAGACGACGGGCCCGACCGCGGGGAGACCCTCAGCCCCAGCCCCCGGCGCCGCGACCCGACGGTCTCCGCCCGCGCCCCACTCACAAGCGCCGCCGTCTAGGCTCTCCGCCCGCGGTCCTCCCGCGCCGCGACTCAAAGCTGTTGCTCCCGTTACTACGGCAACCGCGGGGCACCGCCCAGCCAGCAAGCGGCGCGCTGATTGGACGCGGCGGGCGTCCCTGGCAACCGCGCTGCGGGCCGCGCGGCCCCAGGTCTAATTCACAGTTTCCCCCCCTTCACCTTGGCACCCGCCTTGCTTCTTTCAAGGTGTTGCAGGCATAAGCTCACTCAGCACTCTAGGACCCCCCGGTTCATAGGGATGTTGAAGTGGGTCTCTTTTGACTTCTGTGGGAGGTCCTTGGATCCTCTTAAGTGACTGACGAAAGTTTATGTAGATGGGAGGGATCATAACTGTAGATTCCCTAACGCACCAGAACCAGAGCCCAGCTTTCCAGAGCCCAGTAGGGCAGTCCCAGGGAACAACTTCCATATGCATTGATCTTCCTTCTCCAGACCCGGGGTCTAGAGTGTCACTCTACTCCCAAACTTCTAATCACTGCCTCACCAAAGCCTACCTGAGAAATCCCCGGAAGACTTTAACGAACTCGACCTTCATTCAGTCGATCATTCATTCACTCCTTCGCTAAACATTTGTTACTAATTCTGGGCCAGATATTTGTCAGAGGCAATTTTTCCTAGCCACTGACAGAGAGCAATTGTCAAAACGGTTGCTCGTATCTTAGAGCTTTTCCTGTTGTGTAGGAGATGACATAAATAAATAAGATCCCTTCAGAGTGTGTGTGACAGTGAGATGTGACCAGAAGAACAGCGTCCAAGTTCCGGGTCAAGGAAGCTCTTCTGAAAGGGTCAGAAGCAGGGGGTGAAGAAAGGTTTCTTCAAAGACAGTTGAACCATGAACCCCACTTCCCAATCTCCTGTCAAAAGAAGGAGGCATAGACGGGACCAGTTTAATGGGGTGTGGGGGGGGCAGTGAGCTTGTATCTGAATCTCACCAAAGGGGCAGCAATGAGTGGACAGACCAGTGAGCAGACAGCAGAGCAGAAGGACCGGAAAACAACTGCAGGGCTAGGGGTGGAAGTGCAGAGCTGGAAGCAGAGCCTGGTAAGACTCCAGGAAACCCTCCCTCCATGCCCCAGAGGCAGAATCCTTGCTTGCAGAAAGGAAAGAGGCCATAACTTTAAGCTCTGTGATCTGATTCCCACAGCCACACCACCTTTAACAACTGCAATGAAACTGTTTGGACATTCAAAAGGTCCATAAAAGTTTTGGCACCTGAATAAATCCACCCACCTACAAGAAAATAATTTGCTGCTCAGGGATATTTAAGAAGGACTAGAAGACCACACTTTGGTTACATCCCACACATCAGACTTGTTTAACTTCGTGGTTACATAAGAACTATGAAACAGGCTATAAATATAGGCAAAAATGTGTTGTTCCTGAAGTGTACAGAACAGTGACTAAAGTGTAAAATTAAATATTAGGGTGCATGTCATTACAAGGAGAAAAATAGGTTACCTGAGGTCGCTTAGCACTCAGGCAGGGGATGCAGAGCACTTGCTTTGCACGTATGAGATCCTAGGTTTGATCCCTGGCACTACAGAAGAGAAGAAAAAGTCACAGCAATTCTACCAGACCTAAGATAAAAACCTAATCGCTCATTCCCAGAGGCCTTGCTGGGCCTGTTAAACTGCAACTAGGTATCACGGTTTCTGCACCCCCAGGGCCTTTCTGCTGAGGAAATCTCATTTGATCTCACACCAGAGAGACATGAGAACAGACAAGCACAAGGAAAAATTACCCCCTAAACAAAAAGGCCATACCTCTGGAAATCGAGGACCCACTGAAAATGAATTATGGCATTACAAATCAGATCAAACTCTGTGTATGTGTGCGCATGCACACATGCATGTGAGTGTGTGTGTGTGTGTGTGTGCGCGCGCGCGTGCGCACATGCATACAAAGGATCAAGCCCAGGGCCCCACACATGCAAGGCAAATGCTATTCCACTGAGTTACATCTCTGGATCCTTCAGGGTCACCCAAAAGGTACATTTCCCATCAGAGAAAAAGGAATAACATCCCAGAGGAGCGGAAAACAGCCACAGGCCTTTTCCGTTTTTAAGGGGAACTGCCTGTGCAGCAGGATCCTCTCCCATTTGGATGGGACATGAGAGGCGAGGCCAGAGTCTCATGCTTTACAAGGAATGAGCTATGCCCTGGCCAATCAGCAGGGAAGACAGAGCCTATGTAGCCAGCTTTCAACCTGGGTGGTTAGTAGGCTAGTTACTTGAGCGGTGCCCAACCACCTGACCCATTTTATCAGTCATGATCTGGGGGGTCCGGTCCAAAGCAGACAAACCCAGCAATCACAGAATGACCATCGTAAAGAGCCTTAGAGAGCATTGGGTATCAAACACTTAAGTTGCTCAATTCGTGAGAAATCCTTTTGATGTAGGCAGGTAGATAGAGAAAGGCCCTGGACAATGAAACAGGCCAGAAAAATTTCTGGGAGGAAAAGTCCAAGGCTGATCCACTTTGTGGATATGGATAAGACCTTGAGCAGTGAACCCTGAGGAGATTGGACCCCTCCCCATGAAGGAGATTCCTCGAATTCCCTCGGACCTCTCCCTCAGTCTGATTAACTTTAGTGAATCAGCCCAAAAAAGACCACCATTACTCCCAACATTCCTGGTAACCTCCTTAGCAACAGACTTTTACCTGGGAAGAAGCTCCACATGGGGTCAGGTTGGAGAAACCCTATAAAGGCCACCTTGAACAAAGGAAGGGCACGCATATGCTGCCCAAGCCCATGTGCTGCTTCTGCCCACATGGTCGAGCACATGGTACCTGAGCACATGTTTTGCCCACATCTCCCCTCTTGAGGTGCGTACTTTCATGCTTTCATGTCTAATGCTAGGGTGTATGTAGGGGCTCTCTCCGCCCTTGGAGAAGCCCATGTTCTCTCTTGAGGGCATCTCTCTCTCTCTCTCTCTCTCTCTCTCTCATATCTCTCTCCCCCCCCCCACACACACACCTTAAAAACCCTCCAAATAAAATCTATTTATTTCACTGCTCATCTACTCCTGAAATTCCTTTCTGAGAAAGTGACCATCTTTCTCCTCCATGCTTCACATAAGTCACCTGTGTGGCCCACCGATATCACCTTGTCTTATGATCAGGTGGTGACCACTTTCATGTGGCTCCCACATCTCTGAACCAGGAACATGAGCCAGAGAGATGATTTAGTGGGCTGGAGTGCTTGTCTTGGCTTTGGGAGACCCGGGTCTGCTCCCCAACACCACATGGTCTTCCCCAGAACTGCTGGAAATAGATTCCCCCCACCTCTGAGTACAGCACATGGTCTTGGCGTCTCCAGAGAAGGAAACCAGCAGAACTCCCCTGAATAGAGTGAGTTGGTTGTGCCTCTTAGAAAACCTGTTTGCTCTGCTGCCTCTTGGGGGAAAGACTAAATGTTCAAGCTAGTTCCAAAAGCATGCGCTGAGCCTTCACTCGAAGACTTTAAAAGTCTGGCAAGAGCCAGGAAACCCAAGTCTACCAACTGGTACCTTTGTTTCCTGGCACAAGCTTCCTCATATCCCTGAACTCCATCTCTGCACTGATTCAAGGGCAAGATGCAGTCACGCCCATCTGACTTGTCAATCAGTGGCCCAATTCAGTCAGTCCAGAATTGGTATCAATGAGCCTCCTCTGTGTTTGACACTCTTCTATGTTGTCAACCATGCATTTTTTTCATAATCACATCCTTAACATGGTTTTTAAGGCATTTTCGCCTTATTACATAACTTCTGATTTTAGTATTGTTCCTATACTGTAATCTGTTTCTATGTATTTAGAAAGGATGCATTATGCTGTTGGCCCTCTCTAGAACCAGGTTTTACATTTGAGAAGGAGACCACCCCTGCTGGGAATGCACGCCCTAAGGAGCCGGAAGGGACAGAATTTCTGTTCTCAGGAGATCTCCATTCCAGCAGGAAACTTTGGGTGGAAAACCAAGAAGTGAAGCAAACCAATGTGCTGAGTGCCATGAAAAAGTACAACAGGCACTGTGACAGAGACTTAGGGGTTGGAAGATGAGCCAGAGGCCTCTCTGAGGAGGTGACTCAGATGGGGGGAGATCAGAATGACAATAGGGCAGCCAGGGGTTGACTGAGAGGAGGAATAGTGGTCAGACCTTTTACACACAGCCTGAGGCCAGTGCAGAAAAAGGCAGGAACAGGTGAGCTCAGGCAACACCGCCAACAAAGGGTCATTTTGAAAACAGAGTACTCTGTGAAGAAAAAAGCAGTTGATTGCCACGTTGTCATGTGGGAAATGTTCATTTGAGAGGCTTTGGACAGAAAACAGCTAAGCACTGGCCTCTAGTGCCAAAGGGGTTGCTTAGAAAAACAACTAAAGCAGCTAGAACCTGACAAAAGTTTTGAACAACCAAAGCTATCTAAGGTATCTAAGTGGGTCTGAAAGAGAGATTAATGTTAGCAGTAAAGAAGTTAAACCAAATGTTCCCATCGTGCTTGCTCTGTGCACCTGCACTCATTGCTCTTCACACTTGGATTCTCACAGGCCCTGCCTCTCTACATCACAGATCAGAAATGACGCTCTAAAGCCTCACCAGCAGGCAGGAGTTGGGTCTTTGTGACCTGAGGGCTGGTCATGACCAAGACAGCATAACCCCCAGATCCCCCATCTAGTTTTGGCTCCACTCCATCTTCTACATCTTCCCTCCACCCCTCACCCCCGTCCCTCAATCAGCAAACAGCATTCCTCTCATCTGTGTTGCTGGACTTTGGCAAGAACATCAGACTCCGCTCAACAATTAAAAGACTATTTATAATTCCTTCCCAGGATCTAGAAACAAAAGCTGTCAACACATTGGTTAATTAGCCACTGCCTTGCTTGTAGGGAAAACCTGTCTTACTTTACATCCTGCGGATTAATCAATATGAACTCTGCCTGGATTGTAAGAGAATTTGAAAGCAGGCTATAAATCTGTTTTGAACGTCCTAGAAATGCAATTCCAAGAGATGCCATCG